AAGACGGTGGAGCTTGGTGGTGTGACTGAGGGACGTGGACCTGTGTGATCCTGGGGGCAGTGATTCTACTCAAAGGGCCACGTGGGACGACAGAAAAACCCTCAGCGGGCCCTCCCTGGTGGCACAATAGGTTGGAGCACAGCACTGCAAAGCTAAGCCAAGCCCTGGCCGCTTCAGTGCGAGTTTGATCCCCGGCCAGGGAGCTGACCCACAGGGCACAGCAGACCTTTCCTGGCCCTCCCGCTGCTCCCCCCAGCAGTGTGTTTCAGTAGATCTACCTGTTCTCTCCCCCACTCTGTTTCTAGTGAATCACCCCTGTACCTCTGGCCTGTACCCCATTTCTGTATACATAAAAACTTTAAAAAACAAAAGAAACTTTTATAAAAGAAAGCAAGAAAATCCTTCAGCACTGGGAAAAGGCCTGGGAGAGGAATTAGAAGACTTGATGCCTTAAAACAGGCCCTGAGCTTTGCCCGCGCCTCTAAATATCTTGGGCTTTGGTTTAGTTACCCCCCAATTCCTGCCCTGTCTTCCTCCCTGGCCTTGGAGGGATCACCAAAACAATGGCCGTGGAAGCATTTGCTAAACTGTACGCGTGGGGGAGTGTGGCAGGGAAGTGAGCCATGGTTTCACCAGTGACATGAATGAGGAGATAGCAAAAGGCTCAGAACCCCAGGGAAGGCAGAGGGGCTGGGCCTGGAATGGGAGAAGGAAGCCATGGAGGGGGCTTCCATGGGGTTGAGGGTCAGTGAGGACAGCTAGATTAGCAGGAACCAGTGCGTGCAGTGAGAGCGGCTGCTTCAGGGCTGATGGAATAGAGTCACCACAGAAGAAGAGACAGGATTTTCTGAAGGTCGCCAAGCTGGAACTGGACCCAGGCTTTCTGGCGCCCAGTCCTATAACCAGCTGCCCACGTTAGCCCTGAGTGCAGGAAGCACAGAGGGGTAGGGTGAACTTCAGGGCGCGATTTCGTACGAAGACTCCTTGCTCTAACGCACGTCCCCAGCTGCCCAGAGACGCCTGAGCCCCCTCCTTCACCAGCTCACTGATGGGACTTAGAGTCACCCTCCCACGTGCCCCCAAAGCTGCCCCTGAGCGCCGCAGTGACAAAGCATGCCCCGGCAGACACTCCACGCAGCAGCTCCTCCAAGATCACGCCGGCCTATCTTGCTTACCTCTCCCCGCTGCCCAGGGTCGCCCTCAGCGGGACATTTCCAGGTGTTCTGCCCTTGGTGGTACTTCGAGTCATGGTGGACAGCTCCCACTCTACTCCCCCCAGGCTCATTTTCAGATTTCACACCTCATTGTTGTGGTTCTCTGGTTTTCTTCCTCTTTATTTTGATGGGGGCTGGAAGGACGGGGAGGATACTGTGGCCAGCACAGTCTGCATGGACACACTCTATGGCTAGTGGTCTGTTTTCTTTTTCTTTTTTTTCCAAAGAGAAGACTGCCAGAGGAATGTCAATTTTATTATTATTTTAAAGATTTATGTATGCAGACAGAACTGGGGTACAGGCCAGAGGTGCAGGGGCAGTGAGAGGATTCACCAGAGACAGAGTGGGGAGCAGAACAGGCAGATTGACGAAGTACACTGCTGAGGGGAGCAGCGGGGGGGACAGGAGAGGTCTGCCGCGCCATGTGGGTCACCTCCGGGGCCAGGGATCGAAGTCCCACTACAGCAGCTGCAGCTCATTTGCAGTGCTGAGCTTTAACACATTGTGCCACCAGGGAGGGCCCAAATGGTCTGTTTTCTTTCAACTAAAACTCTTGCTTTGAACTGCGATTCCTGCCCTATGATGCCCACATGAGTGCTGGACATCACACCATCAGAAATTAACAAAGCAGGCCAGGATGCACCAGGGTCAAGGTACTCAGGAAGCAAATAAACTCTAGGGTTTGAATGTGGCAAATGCCAAGAATATTAGTTGTGGATCCTCCCTGGTGGCACAATGGGTTATGAAGCTGTCTGCAGCCACAGCAGTACCAGTCCGACCCTCGGCCAGGGAGCTGACCCGCATGGCGCGGCAGACCTCTCCAGTCCTGCCTGCTGCTCCCCTCGGCAGTGGATTTTGGTCCATCTGCCCGTTCTGGTCCCTCCTCTGTCTCTGGTGAACCCCGTGCATCCCTAGCCTGCATCCCAGCTCTGGTATGCATAAATAAATAAACCTTAAGAAAAAAAAAGAATATCAATTGTGATGATCAACAGATTCAACTATGAATAAATGCTTTTTTTTCAACTCACTATAAAACAGTCAGCTGGAGGTACACCCTGAAGAGACCGTAACTTCACGGTATATGTCCACTATTCGCTCAGATCAGTGGCCAGTGATCTAAAAAATAAAAGCACTTACAGATTCAATTCTATATCTGCTATTAGCTTTTTGGTAGTTAACAGGTGGCAGAACCCAAGCCTGTTCCTCTAACCTTTTCTTGGGCCCACTCCTCCGTTTGCTCTCTAATTCCTTGTACAATATGCTGAGACACAATCACTCAAGCCAGAGGGCCACTTCCTCTTCTTAGGTGGCTTTGCTCTATCAATGCCATCTCAGCTTACAATAAATGTCCTGTATTCACCCACAGGTTTCCACTTAACCTTGTGTTGACCAAGACACCTAATTCATACACAGGCTCTACAACCCCACCCTGGCTCAACTCTGGCCTTCTGCCATTTCATTTAAAGATCTAGCGATTGGGCATCACACCCTTTGCAGGAAATGTCACCTGTTATGTTCAGTCTGTAATACTTAGCTGCCTAGATCTTTCTGAATCATGATTCTGTCTCCCCAGGCTTTTCTTCTTCTTCCCAGCTTCCTGCTCCTGGCACCAAAACCCTTTGCTTCTAAGTCACTGAGATCCTCACTAGATTGGACTCCTCCCGACTCATCTGCTCGGGGGAATCCATGAGCTCACGGAATACACGAGAATACACAAGACACGGAATACATGAGACATGAGGTCTGTGGGTCTTATTGCCTTGCAGCATGCCTATGCCAGAAGGTTAGGTGGCTAAAGCATAAGGAAAAGGAAGGAGGTTAAATGGGACTATAGGTGATTTCCCCCATATATTCTTTATCCATTAATATTTAATGCAGAGCTTATATGTGAGTTTTCCAATTTTTCTGTGCTGAGTACATTTTATATGAAAAAGGAAGAAAAATAAAGTGAAATTCAAATGGAAAGGAAGACAGACTCTTCCCAAGGTGGACCTGGGTAAACCCATCAGCACTCCTTGGGAGGGAAAGTCAGGCTCCCCACTGTCCTGCTTTCCACCTGTACCTGCTCACATGGTGCAGAGTAACCACTGCTTGTAGGAGCCCAGGCATTCTCCCACCAATGCACAGGAAGAGCCCCTTCCCCACCCCAAAACCTTAGGGAAGGGGAGCCAGAGTCATGAGTGCCTGGCAGCCTCGGTGTGCAGCTCTCATTTCTGTTGTCATTTCAGGAACCTTCTCTTCCCCTCCCCCTCAGCATTTATTGTTTCCGCCTGAGGGAACTTGTAGGAGGCTGTTTCCCTGCCAAAAGGTTTTACAGGAGGCTTGGAGAGAGCATAAGAGCCATGACCCCCCAAGGGCACAGTCTGCAGAATAGGTGGTAACTAACAGGGCCCAGCCTGGCCCACTTCCCCGACTTCCAAAAACCAGGCCAGCTGCAAGGCCGGGGTTCTTCATTCCACCCTTCCCTCTGAAGTCCAAAGCAAGCCTGGAAGCTTCAGTTCATCCCCTCTCTCAAGTTCCACCAAAGCCTTCCCCTTGCTAATTCTAAAACCTGCCTCTGGCCTATCACGCTTACTACCAGTAGAGGGCGCGCGCCACCCGCGAGAAGGAGGGGGCCGCAACTAGCGAAGGAAGTCTGGATGGAGGCGTGGGGGTGGGGGGATGGGGAAGAGGTGGGACTGGGCGTGGGGGTGTTCCCTCTTTTTAAAAAATCTTGAGAAAGGACATGGGGCCAGGGGGCAGTTTGTGAGTGTGGCAAGAGAAAGTCGGAGTGAGGCTAGGATGTGGAGAAGAGAAATGGTTTAGGGAATGAAATGGAGCCCCTCAGAAAAGGTGGAGATAGTGTGTGAAGGTGAGACCGGTGGGATGGGTGATGGGAGGAGGTGAGGGGCGAGGATGAGGTGGGAGAAGGTGGGAAGCAAGTGAATGTTGGATAGAAGTCAGGAGGAGAAGTCAGGATGGAGTGGGGAGGAGCTGTGCGCTCAATTTTGGCCTGTTCCCTGCCCCCTCCATGGCCCCTGCCTCTTAGGCTGAGCTGCCCACGGGTGCGCCAGACTCCCCTCTAATGCAAGCCCACTTTGCCCTCATCCCTCCAACATTTCCTTTCCGCTGGGGCCTGAGCTCTCCCCTCAGCCGCAGACCTTAAGGTTCTAGTGTAGCAAAGAACCCAAAGAGGAGGCAGCAGGAATTTGGCAGCTTTAATGGATCTGAAAGGACATAAATGTATATCAGGCCGTCCTGCAAGAGGGTGGGGGTTGAAGAAACCTGGTGCGTCTGGAGGGCAGTGGCCCTGACCACGGCTGCTGAGGCCCGGAAGGAGCAGGTGTACTGTGCGTGGCCAGGGCTGGGATGGGCAACTTGCAGATGGAAACAAAAGATGAGAAAAGATTCGGAATTCGAAAGACAGGGGTAGTGATGGAGGCTTGCAGGAGCAAGGCTGAAGTCCAGGTGGAAGGGGAGCAAAGCCAGGGAGGCCCGGGGAGGCCCAGGGAGCTGGGGGCCGCCGGGAATGGAGACTAAGGGACAGGAGGATGGGAAGGGCGGCTGCGGTCGGTCGCCCTTCCCCACTGCTGAGGGGGCGAGGCCAGCCAAGTTCGGGGTCACTGCAGATTGAGGAGATTTATGCCCCTTCCTGCCCTCCCCCCCGGGCTGGGTGCGGCAGGTAGAGAAAAATCTGAGGTCAGAGATGCGGTAGGGAGGCTCCGGCCTGCTTCCCGGGCCGTGGCTGGGGCTGGGCCAGGCTCTGTCTGGGTGTCTGGGAGAGGCTGCGCACACCCGGCCTTCCGTCTAGTGGTAATGACCCCCCAAGTGCGAGGCGGCGGCGACGGCGCCGAAGGGCCCCGGCGGAGGCTGCAAGCCCGGGCTGGGATAGAGCGCGGCGGTGGCGGCGGCGGTGGCTGCGGGACCCGGGCCGGGCCAGTAGGAGAAGCCGGCGGGCGCGACGCCCGCAGAGGCGGCCATAAGGTTGAGTTTGGAGAGGCCGGGGAAGGGCAGCGGGGCGAGGCCGGCGGGCAGCTTGTAGAGCGCGCCGTCCTGGGCGGCGGCGGCGGCGGCGCGGGGAAGGAGGAAGGAAGCAGGGAGAGGAGGAAG